AGCTGTCAAAAGCATCTGCTGTTGCACTCACTACTGATGGATGGACATCTAGAGCTACTGAGAGCTACTTAACAGTGACTGCCCATCACATTACTCCAGAGTGGAACATGGTAAGCCATGTTCTTCAAACCCGCCCCATTTATGAACAACACACAAGCACAAATCTGGCAGAGGGACTTAAGGAGACAGTGTTTGAGTGGAAGTTGGAGAGGCCAGGGACTACAATTCCTGTCACAACTGACAATGCCAGGAATATTGTCAATGCAGTCAGTGAATGGACTGGGCCCTCAAATTGGATGTTTTTGCACACACAATTAATTTAGCTTCACAGAAAGCAACAGGTCTCAACCAGGTGTCCAGAGTGCTAGGTAGAGTCAGAAGGGTTGTGTCTTTTTTTCACCGTAGCCCAACAGCAGCACATATATTGGAGAGCAAACAGGAAATGCTTAATATTCCAAAACACAGCCTTATTCATGATGTCACCACCCGCTGGAACTCCAGTTATGATATGCTAGAGAGGTACCTTGAACAGCAAGCAGCGGTGTATTCTGCCCTAACAGAAAAGCCCCTCAAGAAGAACAAAGAAATAAGCACGTTGTCTGACCAGGATGTGAAAATGGCAGAGGAGGTACTTGAGGTTCTTAAACCACTAAAAACCATCACAACACTGATGAGCACTGAATCCACACCTTCAGTATCAATGATCCTCCCCCTAAAAACCACAGTACTCAACTCTATGACACCCAATGAGGAAGACAGTCCAACTGTAAGAGAAATCAAGGCTGTCATCACAGAAAACCTGAAGAACAGATACTCTGCTTGTCATGACTTCCTCCACAAATGCACAGCTCTTGATCCGAGGTTCAAGGCCCTTCCTCATGTGGATGATGCCTGTCGTGACAGAATCTACAACGACCTCATCACAGAAATTGTAACCATGGAAGAACAGGTATTGTGTTAATTTGCTAGTGTGTAAAATATCTTCATTGACATTGTATAATCCAAAATACTTTGCTGCTACAGTGCCAGTAGTAGTAATTTATTAAAATTAGTTTTGTCATTTTTATTTTGCAGAGTGCGGAGGCCACAGCAGTTAGTTCATCTCCAGTGACAGGACACTCAGAGGCATCATCTCCTCCTGTCAAGAAGTCTGCCATGGCTGAACTGTTCGGTGAACTCTTCAAGACTCAGGTGGGAAACAAGCCTACTTTGCAGCTAGTGAAGGAAGAGGTTACCTTATACAAGTCTGTGGACTGCATCTCACTGGATTCCAACCCACTTGAATGGTGGAGGACCAATGAACCCACATATCCTCATATTGCCAAGTTAGCAAAGCACTACCTTGCTGTACCTGCTACCTCAGTCCCTAGCGAGAGGGTATTTTCTACAGCTGGAGACATTGTAACTGCCAGCAGATCTTCCCTTTCTGCAGACAATGTGGACAAGTTAATTTTTTTGACAAAAAACATGAAAGTTGAATGAATCTGAGCAAGTCTAAAAACTAAAACTGTTGATGCTGCACTTTACACTTTGTAAAAGTTCTATATTTATATATATATTTTTTTTTTCATATGAGCAGGCCTTAAAGCTGGATTGGTAATGCTCCACTGTTATCCGTAGTTATTTATTTTTTCATTATATTTTATTTTGTGATATTCGTTTCAGAGGATTTTATTTAGTGGAGAATTTTGCAGCAATATTTTATTTCTTATTCTTTTTTGTTTTGTTTATATATATTTTATTTATTATATTTAATAAAAAGTGTGTTTAAAAGGTTTAAACAAATTGTTCGAAAAGTTTGAAAAAAAAAATGTTAAAATAAAGTTTATATTAAACTAAACAACCAGCAGTTTAATGTTTGCATTTCTTTCCCTTACTGTACCGAAAAATAACCGAACCGTGACTTTAAAACCGAGGTACGTACCGAACCGTGATTTTTGTGTACCGTTACACCCCTAATGAGTGCAGATTATTCTAACCTTTATATTAAAAGTATGCATCATCTTTTATTTAAATTACAATACTAAAAAGTGGCAATGCCCATTTACAAAGTCTTGATTTTGGTTGATTTTTGTCCGTTTAGTTCCAGTCTTTATGAAGCCCCTCCTTCTGAAAAGCACAATGTGCCCTGATTGGTCAGCTGGAACAGTGTGTTGTGATGGCTCATCCGCTACAAACATGTCGTTTTGAAAAAAGTTGCACCCAAGTTTCAACACACTACTAATGCAACTCAACCAGTCCTCACCCCTTTATTTTGTGCATGCCTTGGGCAATTTAAATGAGGACTATTGTGACGTTCGTTCCTGGAGGACTATGATCTCAATGAATCCTCAAGGCTACAGCCTAAAGGCCTGTTCACATCGGGACGAATTTCACGCGCAATGTTCGCCGACGTTTAACGCCTTTAGACTAAACAAAGGGCGCCAATGTGAGTGTGCACACTCACGCGTAAAAGCTTCGTTTTTTTTATTTTGACACGTCGCATCAAAAACTATCCGACCAATGAGATTGGCGCTTTTGCTCACGTGTTTGGAGCTTCTGAAGTTAGTAAAACACAACTTGGGGGCACTCAAAACACAAAGCGGTCTTGCCGAGCACACAACACATACAGGACGGAGAAGAATATCTACGCCAAGTAGCGTCGCCGTCTACACAGCCAGGAAGAAATAAAACGAAGAAGATGCAAGGCAAGATGAATGTAGAGCTGCTGTTCTCGGTTGGTGTTAGAACAAAGAACTATATGACAAACACGACAGGGACTACAAATACAAACATCTTGATAAAAGAGAACTGTTATGGAGTGGTATTGCACAGCAAATGGGCGCCATCTAATGTCAGGGAATGAATTTGCTCAATGGTCAGTCAGCTCATGTTCAGCAAAAATCGCTTGGGTGTGAACTCAAAAAACGTGTCAAAACACTGGCGAATAAAGCGCGCTGATATTCGTCCAGGTGTGTACGGGCCTTAAAGAGCCCTATCATGGATTTTGAAAATGACTGTTCATGTGGTGTGGAATATAGCTCTATGGGAATGAAAACATCCTGCAAAGATTTATATCTGAAAGTGCACCGTATATAAAGTTACTGTCTTTCAAAAGTGAGAGTCGACTCTGAGTCTATGAAATGAATTGTTTTTGAAATGAGTCACTGCACGCGCAGACGGAAGTGTAAACTTGAAGTCTACACATTCAAATACTTCATCATAGCATCATGTTCGAGAAGATGCTGTGTTCTACAATGCAAAGATAGTTCAGCCACTTTGTTTTCATTTACCAGGGACGAGCATGTGAAGAATCGGTGGTTAGAGTTCATATTTGCAACAATACCACAACAGTATAGCCCGATTGTGTTCTCATCATTTTAACGATGAATCGTTCAAAAACAAATGAATTCAAATGTGGATTCGCAAGCGGATGTTACTGAAGGAGGGCTCAGTAACTTATTTACCCAGTGTATATGGATCAGCTTCCTCCTTCGAATCACAACCTGTAAGTATTATTAATAGTTGTTGCTTTTATGGGTTTTGAACGGTTTTGTAGCGTCACGTCGCGAGGAGCGAAGGTGGAAGTATGTGTGTGTGTAAGTTACGCTCAGCGCAGCTTCTTGGTCTCCAATGTCAATTTTTTTTAATATGTTAAATGTTTGTCGCTGTTATTGGAGTGGTCATAAAGAATAGAGCGTCTTGTAGTACTGCAGTGCTTTATCATTATGTTTATGCGTTAATATGCTAACAAACAATAACTGACTGGGTCGGTCATCTGACCAATCACCGCCGATTAGCGTCACGCAAAGGAGGCGTTTGGAAAAATGAGTCGTTGTACGAATCATTTGGGAGTCGGTGAGCAAATCAGTTAAAAATAAATGCATATTATAAGACAAATAAAGTTTTTATCCTTGCATGCATGTTAAACTGTTTTTGGGAACTCCCAAAACAAAAATAGGAACATTTCAAATGCTACGATAGGGGCTCTTTAATGGAGGCGTTTTCAGGGAGTTCAGAAACAGTTCACACTGATATAGAGGAGAACTCCCTAAGGACTGACTTTGTAACTTTGCACACCCTTTTCATGATCAAAAAGCAAGACATTTGAAAATGTGAAAAAAAAGCATTAGTCCACTTTAATGATTGAAGATGAAAATTGCTTAAATCAAATATCAAACTAACAATTATAAATATTCAAGTAATCACAGTGCTAAAAAAAAGAGGAAAGGAGTATTATTGAAACAAAGCATTCATTATCTGTTGACAAGACTTCTGTATATATTTTGAAACTGGCACTTCTGTCAGTCTACATGGTGGACAGATACCAGCTGATGCCAACACTCTCAAAATGACCACGTCATATTGGCTTGGCCCAATACCGGTCTATCACTGGTGAAAAAAAGTGACAAATGCAAAAGCTATTGGACAGATGGAAAGTGCTATGAACAAAATGTACTGAAAAATCTTCTCACATTATGTTAGTTTACTTTCAGTAACAGTCGATTCTTGTCCATACGAAGCAAATCTGTGTGAGCTTCCGCTGGGCTCCAGTATGCCAGAGAGACATTCCTCTGGTGTCAGACCGAGGCCCGAAACAAGCATATAGTGTGACTTCTCCACTTCACCTTAGCCCAGCACGTCTGATGGTTTCAGTCCACAGCAAATGATAGATTACTGCTACTGGGTCCTCACAGAAATCATCAACCTCAAGAACACATTTGACATCAAAACCTATAAGTGCTGTGGTGGTACAACGGCTCAGAGGCCAGATGGAAATACCACGGTCCCCTGACCCATATATTAATGACAGACCATAAATCAAGCTTGTAGAGATCGTATGACAGCAGTGTCAAATTGGCTGATTAACAGGAGGAGGGCAAAACATCCATAGAACTGATGCCCTAAAACACTAAAGTGTCTTAATGCATTAAGGCCCAGTTTACACCTGGTATTAAAGGTCGGGTAGGCAATTTTTGGAGTGGCTAATAAAACTCATAGGTGCATTTAAACTTTAAATAAAGCGTAGCTGAATAATTTTTCAATCTCATGCATTGCTTTACTTCATCAATCAGTTTATAATATCTGAATATTTTATATTGAACTATTCTATTCATAATAAATTAGTTACTTTCTTTTAACTTTTGTAGGATATTAGTAATACTAGTTATGTTTAAATGTGTTTCCCAGCATATTTTTACCATATGTCCTTATTAGATTGCGTTTTTAAGGGGTTTGTTTTGCTCTTTTTGTGATATCTGGCAACCCGCCACCCTGAGCTTTAATCAAGAGTTCAGAAGTGTCAAGTTCATCAAGTTCAGAAGTGACTAGAAGGAGAGCAGCAATATGAAAACCAAACAGCAGCTACTGTTGGTGTTGACTAAGTTGTTTAAATTATACACACCTTAGAACAGTGCGTCATTATTAGATCATAGCCCGGTGAACGCCACGCTCCCTCTCAGTGTTCCCCATGCGATTAATTTGAGTGTCAAGTTGTAATAATCACTGATCGAATTCTGATCGATTGCTTTCGGAGTGTAGACGATACTCATGTGCTTGAAAGTGGACAAAAGCGACGGATTAAAACTCCAGTTGTAAACGGGAATGCGTCTCCCTCATCTACTTGTGATCCGATCGACCAAAACACTAGAGCCCGGCCTATATTAGGCATTTTCCTAACTATCAGTATCGGCATTTATAATGGCCAATAAATGAAAATAAATTTTAAAAATGCAGGTGTGGTGATTCATGTAAGGGTGGCACTGCCAATAAAGCACATAAAAGCCGTCACAAAGAACTGGCAAAAGTAATGATTGTGAATACATCAAATTAGGGCTGTCGTACGATTAATCGCGATTAATCACATCCAAAATAAAAGTTTGTGTTTACATAATATATGTGTGTAGTGTGTATAATTATTTTGTATATATAAATACACACACATGCATGTATATATTTAAGAAATATTTGCGTGTATATACTTTATTTATAAAAAAAGTTATATTATACATAAATATTGTATATATTAATAAGACATTTTTATATATACAAAATAATTATACACACTACACACACAAATATATTATGTAAACACAAACATTTATTTTGGATGCGATTAATCGCGATTAATCGTTTCACAGCCCTACATCAAATATAGCAAGGAGACATTTTAATTGTTTATTAATAAGTGTTTTCAGTCAGTGTCGCTGCCAAACTCAGTACAACCTACAGATGAAGCATACTATATACAAGCCAGCAGATGAGCCCAGAATATGAACAGCAGGATGAGCGTAATTTATATTGGTTGAAATCTTTCATATTCTGGGTTCATTTGCATCTGAACAGAGTAGAGGCGTTAAAATTATTAATTTCTATGATGCATTGCGAAACGGCCATGGACGATTCGGTGGCGATGCAATAACAGACCATAATCGATTATAGCCGCCGTTATAGCCTACATGCGTTTCTCTGACGTCATTCGACGGATACGCGCTTGTCTCACTAGCATA